ACACCTCTTTGACCTTCAACCACTGCATGCATCTTACAATTACATCTTACGCTTCATATAGCCCTCCACACTGATGACACAGGGCTCCAAAACATTTGCATTCAAATTTCTTAGGACTTTGTCTGATGGTCTTGCAGCTAACTGGAAGTCTTGCAAAATCCTACTATAGGACGGTAGCAGTAAATCTGAAGAGCTCTTGATTCTTGAGTACTCAGTGCTCAGTGTCCATCCAACGTCAGCAGCTCTCCAAAAGAGTTCATTAATTCTTTTCTGGTTGAAGGGTGAATGCATAGTTACTGTGGACTGGAGGGAGTTAATAGGTAAGGTTGCAAAGGATGCTCCAGACTTCCTTTATAAGTGTATGTAACTTGGTAAAGATCCTCACAGTGGAATGTCCAGTGCCAACCACTGATAGTTTGTGACCTCAGCAAGAACTGAAGTAAAAGAGTAACAGTGTAATGTCTCGTTCTATAGAGCATTTCAAGCATCCATGGAAGTTTCATGAAAAAGACTGTATAATCTTTTGTAGAAAGGAAAATGAAGACTAAATCAGGAATCAGACTGGGTTTTCAGACAATCAGTTTTAGAAATAGAGACAAATGTTTATTCAGACATTAGGAAGACTTCTGTACATAACCCCTGGGTTACGTTGGCAAGTGCAGAACTGCAATCAATATTAATTAGAAAGGAACAATTACAGTATGATCTGGTTGGTCATATGAACATGACTGAACTCCTGACACTGAAAAGAAACAGGGTCTAGAAAGCAACTATTATAAAACAAACAAACAAAAGGGAATACAGAATGAGTTAGGCAGAGATTAAAGGTGTGGCTGAGGCAGTGGGTTGTGCTTATCCTTGCACACCATAGGTTGCCATAGCAACATGAGATTTTTAAAAAGTAGACCAAGGAATTGCATCACTGGGTACAGAAAGAAAGAAGACATTCCATTTCACTCAGAGGGATTATAAGGAAATACTTATTATCCTAAATTCTGATTCAATAAAATGTCAGCAACAATTACTGTATTTAGTCAGGATTTTCTTATATTCTCTACTTCAAGCCACTACTGTTGAAAATAAAGCAAAACAGACCATACATTTGCAATTGTATAAAATGAAATTAAATCAGTTTAAGTAAAAGGCCAGATTGCAGTTAAATGAAATGGAATATCTGAAGTAAAATAATTCCTTCCTAATCCACTTGGTTATAATAAAACATTTACATATACACATTATGGGTATAAGGTCACCCACTGTTTTGAGTCTCCCCAAAAGACTTCACAGCTATGTTATAAATTAATTTAAAAGGTTTTTATAAAATTGTAAATGTTTTGCTGAGTCTTTAGAAATGCTTCCAAGGGAGATTGCTGAGAACTCGATGAGAACATTCTAGCAGGCTCATGCTAGCAATTTAAACCTTTTTAACATGAAAGATGATTGATTTTCAAATCATCTCAGCATCAGAATTTTAAAATATTTGAATCCATTTAAAGAGATAAAATAAATTTTCATAAATACTATGGCTTCTTTTCTATTTTTCTCTTGGTAGAAAATTTAGAATAATTTCAAGTAAACAAAACCTGGCTGTAGTTCTCTGAGATTTTGTGCAAGCTGATTTCTATGTAATTAAGGGATGTTTATGTTTATTTTGTCTTGATTGTAATTCTGTCTTATTTGCAAGTTCCAAGTTCACTGTAGCTTTACGCAGGTCTTTATCACTAATTTTTTTTGTCCCTCCAGATACAAGATGGATAAACATGTCACTGCCAGCCCACTAGTCTGAATTCCTAAATAATAAAAATGTCTCAAAATTATATATGATTATAATAAGTAATCTCACTAATAAATCGAGTCATTTGGACACAATGCCCTTTGTCCTTTCCACAGACCACATGGCAATTGTGAGGAAGGAGGCGCGCAGCAAGAACACACAGAGTGTTTAATCTTGAGACTTCAGTCTTGATTGCTGAAGTTGGATTTAACGGGGAAACAATAAAACTGCACCTTGTGGTCCCCACTAGCCTCACCTCCTCAAGTGACAACAGAAGCATTTAATTACACAAATGGAACAACTTGCATACCATTTGGAAGAAGTGGCTACAGTCATGAATGTTCTCTTAGACATGTGCCCTTTTATGTTGAGTGTATCACATGAAGTAGTTACACAGCATCTGTTCACTGAGATGTTATCAGCATAAAATATGAAGTTGTTCATTTTTCACCATAATTATGACTACAGCCACTGAAACTAATGCCAAATTAATGCTGTTAGCTTTGGCAGAAAAGGGTCAATAACTTTACATTACTGATATTGTTTAAATAAATGGCAACTATAGATGAAAGCCCAAATGGTAATAACAATACACTGGTTTTATATAAAGCAAATGAAGAATATTTGAAAATTTAATGGAATATTTACTCAAAAATAGACTATAGTTTATCATATTTTAAGTTTACTCTCTTAAATTAAAAAAAAAACAAATATTCTATTGTTTAAAAGTATATATGATGTTTATAACTGGCAAGATGGCTCCGTAGCTCACGGCACTTGCCACCAGCACTGATGACCTGAATTCAATTTGAGGAAGTCACGTGGTAGAAAAAGGCAACTGGTTCCTCCCAGGTGTCCTCTGACTTCCTCTGACTTTCATATGCTGTGATCCTGCATGCAGGAACACACACACACACACACACACACACACACACACACACACATACACACACATACCCCACATGCACACATGTACACACACAGATAAAAAAAGAAGGAAGGAAGGAACACACACACACACACACACACACACACACACCCCACATGCACACATGTACACACACAGATACAAAAAGAAGGAAGGAAAGATGAGGGAGGGGAAAAGGGGAGGAAGGAAGAAAGGAAACAAAGAAAAAAGAATAAAAAGCAGAATGTTTAATGTAAAACTTTGAATTGCAATGCAACTCAGTAGTAGTGTTTGCCTAGTGTGTGCCCTGGGTTCATTCCCAGCACCACAAATGAAGAAAGCAATTCACGTGACTAAATAATTTACTGTCAAACCATTACATCAGGCCTAATAAAAGATGGCTGTTTCATGTTCCACACTCACTTTCCTGAAGACTTCCTTCTTGTACATTATCTTAGTCAATTTATATTTTTAAACGAGATTTTCTTGCTAAAATCTGAATTTTTTCACTCCCTTCAAAACTCAACTGATGTGAAAACATTTTTGCTTATACTTGGAACCCTCATCAGTAACTGCTTCTCCTCAGCCCAATCACCAAGCCCTCAGATCCAGAAAACAAGATATATTCCTTTCCCAGATTCTCCTGCCCATGGCTGATATAAAACAGATTTTAACGTTTACATTAGAACAGAGGTCAACATGAAAGGCCAGAATCCTGGCCTTTAGTTTTTGTTTCTTGTCTTTATTATTACAATAAATATTTAGTTGAACTAGTATTTTCCATGTCACATAAAAACATTGGAATGACAATCTTTCTTTTTAATCATAGATTTGAATTTCCAAAGGACTTTAAAATATGTAAGCACAAATATCAGAAAAAATAATGCTAAGTAATGAAAACTAACATTCTTAAATATTTCCTATCTGTGACCCTGCTTTTCTCTGCCTGTCTTGTTTTGATTTACAGCATATGTTTTCAGTCTAAGGAAACTCCTCTCCCTGTGTTTGAGATTCTTCTTGCCATGGCTCCATCTGAGAACACGCTCTAAGGAGTTTTTCCTTTTCATTCGTACAGTCAAAAGAGATTTTTTTACACTATTGAAAACACACCAGTCAAACCAATTTGAAACAATCAGAAATCTTGGTCTTTCTCATCAGCATCCACAGTTCTTACCTGTCTTCTGTCCTGTAAAGCTAACCTTCTCCCCTGCAGGACCTAGTCTCCCCATTCATTTGCTTCATCATCCTCGCTCTCCTGCCTCCTCTGTCAGCTTCATGCTACCTCCTCAATCTCCCCATATCCAAAGACAGTTTTCAACACTGGTCTGTGCGGCAGTCAACTGTGAAAGACTCCCCTTCCATCCTGGAGTGGCTGAGGAATCAGAGCTCTCCATGAAGGACAGGCCATTTGTCTCTTTTCTTCGCCCACAGACCTCCTCATCCTCCATATCCTGTACTTTTCTTCTCTCCATTGTTCTTTGCCCAATTGTAGAAATCCTAGGACTTCTTTTTAATCTATTTAAAATAATTGTTTAATTTACTTTTCCATCCTTTAGGATTCTGATGTTAAGAATTGGTAGAAAGGGGGCTAGTACACAGGAGGGTCTTAAAAAGCAAGCAGCAATCTTCAAATAGTAAAGCAGTCGGGGAGGAGGGAGGCAGATAGAAGAAAATGTCTAATGCATTTTTATAAATAGTGGTTTTATCCTTGCTATTAAGCATTTCTACATCAAGCGAGGTTGAAAGTCATTAAAATGCCTAAAGAGGGAGACATTGGTGCAGCAAATCTGATAGATATAGAACAAAGTGAGAAAGGGATGTTAATAATTTTAGATATGGGTATATTCAAAGTTGTTGACATACCTGAAAGTGAAGGATAAAAATATGTTAACATCTCAGCGACATGTTTCTCTTTGGGCAAACTCATTCCTTCCCACGTCAACATGTATGAACTCTATATACACTATCATAAATATATGTCTTCAACCCAGATACTTTCTCAACATGATAAACTCAGATACCATGTAGTCTTAATATTTCCACTAAGATGTATAACCAGAATTACAGAGTCCGAAGCACAATTTGTTATTTCATTCCACCTTCCTCCCTTTCCCCACTAGTGCACCCCCTTCAGTTCTCTACTTTCCAGAATGTGGACTTGTCTATGGTGTTTCTCCACAAGGCATAGACTCATTCAAGGTTAACCAAGAAAAAGTTTGAGGCTTTGGGGTTCTTAAGATGTTATTGATACAAATAATAGAACAGCTAACCAAAGCAGAATAAAGAAGAAATACCTCATGTATCATGTCAGTTTCAGCGATGGATCACTCGAAATTTCGACAGGTCACCAGTTTACAGATGACGTCTGCATTCGGTGTTTTATAAGTCGTTCCTTTAAAAGGTAGAATCGCAGGTCTGGTTTAATGGTAAAATACTTGCTTTTTGTCTGTGAGAGTCTGGTTTCCATCCTCCGTACTACAGGGAGGACAAAGGAAAATGAGTGCTAAGTGATGCAATTATAAGCAGGTTGACTGATCATAGTTCTAATGCTTTAAAATATTGAGATACATGATAGCCAAAAGAAAACTTACATGCCAGATGTCGGATGTTTCACTTAGAGCAAATTACTTAATTTCTCTTGACTTCCATTATCTTGTAAATAAAGACAGGATAGGATATTAATTGTGTGCGTCAATGGGGTCTGTGATGAGGAATAAGTAAGGAGTAAACGGTTTAATAAACTTATAAAGCAAGGAGTAAACGATTTAATAAACTTATAAAGCTAAGGTGATATGTTTGCTATTGTATTATTATTGAATCAGAAATAATAAAAACTATTTTTAAAGGACCCAGGTGTGAGGATCTGTATCAGTACATGGTAGCTGATATATTTGGGAGGGTAAGCTAGGAAACCTAGTAATCTCAAGTCTTCAAGACCAGCCTGGGTAACACAGAAAAACTCAATATTTTTTAATGGGGGCAGGGTAGTAAAATGTGAACTTCGTGATAAAACAAAATATTCTCGAGGATATAAAAATTATAAAGTATGTTTATAATTAAGATCTCAAGATATTTATGAAGCAATTTTTTGAAAGATTTTCCAGTTACAATTGTCTGTTCGACAAGATAAAATTATTTCCAAAAAACCCTAGGGAACTTATGCAGTATTGATATCAATAAAATAACTTACGAAGTTTTCTAGATGACAATTCAGAATGTAACAATGTATAAGTAACAATGTTATCCCTATACTAGCCATTAATGCAGTGGAAAATCTATAAAACATATTTATTATGAGGATAAAAACACTTTAGTTGGAAATCTAAACAAATGTGAAATTATCTTATGGAGAAACTTTCAAAACTTTATTGGAAAATACCAAAGAAGACTTGAATATTTTAAAGTATCTATGATATACACAGAAGCGAAAAATCAATACTACAAAAATACTGTGCAACAGTAATATGTGTCTTATTTGAAAGAACATTTAAGTCAGAAAAATGGACCTTTCTTATTAAAATTAATAAAGAAACATATTACATCTAAGGTCATTGTTTCAAATAAGCAATAATAGTTATTCCATACTCTTTTTCATAAAAGCATATTTACTCTATATTTCCTGACACTGAGTTTAAAGTTGACTTCTTTTGAAAAGTTGTTTGGTTACATATCTAACTTTTAACTCTCTAAATGTATACACATTTATAAGAGTACTGGAAAATATTGTCAATAGACTATTTTAAATCATCTCTGATGTACAGTTATATAAAACAATGTAATTTTTATTTGAACTAAGACACTAACATTATAAAGCTTCTCAGTTTGTTATTGCATCTCATGATTATTCAGAAAAAATCACCGGTAGCATTTCCTGATGACAAAATGCAGTGCAGTTTAGTTCTATCATAACAGCAATTATACAAAAAGTAAGGGAGTCTCCGAGCAAAGTTTAAGAAATTTGACAAATATGATTCTCAGAGAAAGGCAGAAGACAGACAGGAAGCATAAGTGTACAACATGGATACTTGTTCCAACAGCTTTCAACAGCCACTGCAGAGCCACATAGACTAACCTAGAAGTCACTGGACAGAGATAGCTGAACAAAGGGAAACAGCCAGGAGTTATACATATTTGCACATATGAAAACTTCACTCATAATGAAGGATTTTATTTATGTCAAACCAGAGGTGGAGGTATGGAATGACAGTTGCCTTAATGACAGCTATAGGTACGTGTAGTTGTATAACTAAATCATATCACCACAAGTGACCTATAAAAGAACAAAATTCGAAACAAAAATATTAGGAAAATATGCACATTAAAAGAGAGGCATGAAAATAATATATTTTCCAAGGGGAACATGAACTCTTGATCACAATATAAAAACTGATTTAAAAACCGTAGGCTTTTAAGACGTATGTTTAAGTACAAAATTTAAGATATTTCAGTACAAATCGGTAGGAAAATATGAGTGAGACATGATGGGGCATATCTATAACTGCAACATGTGAGAGGTTGGGAAGAAGATGATCATAAGTTTCAGGCCAGCCTGAGTTATATAGAGACCTTGTCTTACACACACACACACACACACACACACAAACACAGGATTTGAAAAAAAATCAAGTGGTCCACTGCAAAAATTATCAAAAAAAGATTAAAGAACATGACAAGAAATTAGAGCGGTGGTGCTGACATGGCAGGTAAAAGCACTTACTCTGCAAGCATAAGGACCTGAATTTGAATCCCCAGTACCCATGTAAAAACCCACACATGAACACATATGCAACTCCATGGTGGGGTGGGGTAGAAGCAGGCATGTCCCAATAGCTCACTGACCAGCTAGCCTCGCTGAAACAACAACCTGCAAGTTCAGTGAGAGATCATGTCCCAAGTCAATAAGGACATAGAGTAAAGGTGCATGAGGTTCCACCTCAGCTTCCACATGTATGTGTACAGCACACCACCATGCACCACACACCTTGCATTCACTCATGAATTCTACACATTCATACACATGAACACACAAAGAAGGAATCAAGATTATTAATAAGCTTATGAAAGCATGTTTTCATCTGGAAAAACTATTTTGAATAAAATTAAGGTAGATGCTGACTGGGGACATGGTTCCAGACATGGTATTCGAGCAAGATACTTGTATCAGCACAGTTCCAGGAGACAGGTGGTTCCAAGAGATCTCTAGGGGAATGAGTGTCCTCCTAGTTCCGGTCCACTCTTAATAACTAAATTTAAGAGTTAGGCTTTTTTCATTGTTGTTGTTGTTGTTCGAATACTTATAATGTCTGTGTAGTAAAGCCATGGTGTAACCATTACTACATTTAACACTCAGAGATATCCCAAGTTCCCAGTTCTACCTACTCTTTCCTCCCTCCCTAAACTCTGTTAATCTGTGTTCCATTTTGTTTTGATGATATTATTTAAATGAACTCAAGCAATGTACGTTTCTAGACTGGCCTTTTCATATAGCATAATGCTCTTGAGGTCCATCCATGATGACATGTAGGCCAGAAACTTTTTTCTTTTTTTTTTCTTTTGTTTGTTTGTATTGTATGTGTATGAGTGTTTTCCTGTAGGTATATAAAGGGCACCCATGTTGTGTAATACCCATAGAGGCCAGAAAAGGGTGTCAGATACCCTGGAACTGGAGTTACGGATGGTTGTTAGCCACCATTTGGGTCGCTGGGAACCAAACCTAGGTACTCTTCAAGAGCCACCAGTGTTCTTAAACACCGAACCATGTCTCCAGCCCCTTTTCTTCTCACTGTTAACAGTTCCTAGGCTAGAAGCTCTACTACTGTTTGTTCAATCAGTACATACTGAGGGGCACTTTTTGTTTCCAGTTTGGTGCTATTACAAACAAAGCGGATATTAACATGCATATATAGGTTTTTATGAGACTGAAGTTTTCATTTGTCTTGGTTAAATGTCTAAGAAAGCAATTAAGTTTCATTGTAAATACATCTTCCATTTTTTTCTTTTTTTTCTTTTTTTACCTTTTTTAAATTTTGGAGACAGGTTCTCCCTGTAGCCCCAGATGGCCTGGAACTTGCTATGTAAACCAGGCTGGCCTGAATCTCACAGGGATCCACCTACCTCTGCCTCCTGAGTACTGGATTAAAGGTCTGTGTTATCATGCCCAGTTTCTTAATTTTTAAAATTATGTGTACATGCATGTGTTTGAGTGTCGGTTTGCACTTACGAGTGCCATGCCTGGGAAGGCCAGCACAGAGTGTCAGATCCCCTGGAGCTGGATAACAGGTGGTTGTGGGTCATCTTACATCAGTGCTAGAAGCTGAGCGCAGGTTCTCTGCAAGTACAGTACACACTTCTAACCACTGAGTCATTGCTCCAGCTCCCAGCTGTTGTTTTGTTGTTTGTTGATGTTGTTGCTGTTGTTGTTTGCTTTTCTGCTTTTTTTTTTTTTACTACTAAACTAGTTTTTGTAGATCAGGTTTGTAAAGTTCACCAAGAAATTCTTCTGTAAAATAACCACTTAACAAAACAAACTATTATCTGATTTTTTTATAAGATTTACCAAAGTTTATGATTATTAAGAATCAAGTTATAGATAATTTAGAGATAATATTTTTTTTATTTTTAAGGCTGATGCCATATGCAGTAAAAAAAAGATAGTAAAAGTTTTAAGATAATGGATATTATTTAATATAGGCATTTAAAAGTTTTAAGATAATGGATATTATTTGATGTAGGCATTTAAAAGTTTTAAGATAATGGATATTATTGGATATAGACATTTTCGGTTAGAAAGAAATGGACTGAGAGAAGGAAAAT